GAAGAGAACAAAGGGCAAAGGGAAAAAACCTTCCTTGAGAGCGGGTGGAACGGGCCTGAGCCTTGCCGAGAGCGTCGAGACGATGAGTGTTCAAGACGAGGAGATCGATGATTAGTGCTAGATTTGGATGTTAGAGAGGCCCTTGTCTTGATAACGCGGTGGGACGGTGGACTATTCTCATCGAGAGCCATGGCCTCGGCCTGATAGAGTTGGAATTAGATTAGCTTTCTCATTAGCGCTTGTGGATAGCAGATGAATGTCCAAAGTGTTCTGATGGTTTTGATCATCTGTCATTTCTCTAAATGAGACTATACTACATGCGGGCTGATAGGCAGCCACTTCCTTTCCTGAAAATCTCCTTTCCCGTCATATGTGAGCTCATGGCATTGCATACCTGGGTAGCGAGTACACCCTCACTTGCTAAACCAGTCCGCCGTAAACGCCCTCTCTGATCCTCCTATAGACACATGCTCGACGTCCGCCAGGTCCACTCCCTCCATCTCGTCGACAATCCTCTCCCAGATCTTCTCCGATTCCTCCATCGATACACTCTCTCCATCCCACCCGTACTGCAGGTCCTCTTCCGTAATCACAAAGTTATTCTTCTCGTTGTCTTCAAACACTCCGTACGGCTTCTCGGGTGCCACGTTATGGTTCAGTATGCGGTTGAGCGGCAGTTTATTGGCAGCCAACCAATACGCGCGATGGAACCGCTTGTCAGAAGCCTTCATGTTGGGAAACCACTTCTGTTTGACCGTGAGAAGATCCGCTTCCATGGATAAGCGGAGCCATTTGTGAACAGATGGCGCAACAGTCGTCCAATGGATCTCGTTATGCTCATGAGCAAACATTCCATATACGCCGATGCTGGTAGTCGTTGTGGCCGGTGGGTCATACTGAAACGGGTTCGCAGCGTTATGTAAAACTAGAAGCGACATTCTGTTTCCATTCTTGATGAAGCCTGCTGTAATATGCGCGTCCCATCTGTTGCTGTCTGAGTGGTAGATTCCTTCCTCCAACTGATCTTGTAAAAAGGACTCGGCAAAGTCGAAGCCATGTCCAGGTTCAAGCTCATATAGAACGACCGGCCACCTGTACTCGTCGTAGGTGCTTGTGATATCTTGGGGTATGGTCTCAGGGTGGACAATCTTAGGAGGCGGTGGTGGAGGTGCTGCGGGCGTATGCGGTTGATGTTGAGGCATGTAAACTAAGGGTCGCGCATGAACCGGTTCTTGATACTGTGGGTAGGGAGAAATATACGGTGGTGGGTGATACTGCCGCGGATCGATGTAGTGCATGGGGCCCGGTTGCGGTAGATGAGGAGTCGGGTGGTGGTTTACCACGGGGCTGCTTGTGAAGCTCTGTTGCTGCCCATGCTTTGGTTTGGGTGAACCCGGAAGAAGACGTCTAAAGCGAGGAGGTGGTGCAGGTGTAGTTGTCAAGTCGTCAATAATTGAAGCCTTGCGTTTGCGAGGCATCGATGTAGGCTCTTTGATCAGTTCGTACTGGGGCGCTGAGGCTTGGGCGGAAATTGTCTTTCTCCTCGCTACCTCGCCCTTTCTTTTGTACTCGTCCTGCTTCTTCTTGCTCTGTGCATCTACCATGCTAAGGTTGTGAGTTGGCCAATGCTGGATAGAGGGCGCTTTCTGTCAAGCTGTTAGCACGAATAGTAAGATCAAGGGAAAAACTGGACAGGCCTGCAGCCTACATCAGCATGGAAACCTGCAAGGTAGGTGCCCTAACGTCGATGTAGGCTCCAGACCTGTTCAGATTTTCCCTAGTTTGGCGTGATAGCAAGGGATACATACTAGTAATAAGTTAGCAAGATATCTTGAGAGCTATTCGTGGCGGCTACTTTACCCTGAGCAGGTTGGGAGTCGAATATCTGCTGCTGAGGCGACGGTTGCAGAATATTGGCAGATGGATGAAATCGAGGGGGTGGAGCGACAGTTTGTTGTGACAGACAACCCTGGATGTTCGATACTGAGGGATGAATGTATGCTGGTGCAAATGTGCTGTAAGGCGATGTATACTCTGAAGGGCCTCGCAATGGTTTCGCAGGATGATGTTGGCGCACATCGTCGAGGTGGTGAAGGGGCGGAGTAGGTGGTCGTTGCCTGTTCGCCCAATGTGGTACAGGCACGTTGTACCGATGTTGCGGCTGGTGGAGAATTTCGGGCTCAGGGGAAAGAGGAGTTGAGATGAAAGTACTTGCCGCAGTTATTTGTGGAGAGGGAGCGCCAAAGGTAGCCATCGAGTTTTTGCGCGTGGATGCAGCGTCATGCACGTCATCCAAGCTCATAGCCTGAGGCCAGCCGGAAGGCGCGCCATGTTGAGGAGGGTTCATCTGGTGTGCTTGCAGCAGGTTGAATCGAGAGGCTCATATTTGGTGTTGAAGGAGGCGGGCGGGGGTTGTTGACTATTTATACTGCCGTTGCTCGTGGTGACGGTCGTATGGGAGGCAGCAGCGACCAGTGATAGAAGGCACGCTACCCCGACAACACAAGGGAGTACACCGACAGTGCCAATTCGCGACGTGTCTCCCGCCTTCACCCGACAACTGCGGATAGAAACGCGCACAAAGTGGCGGATTGACCACGTTGAGGTTGCAACGTCGCTGCCTGACTGTTCTGTTGTTGACGTAATGAGATGGATCAGGAGATTAATGACAAACGAAGGGTTGAAAAACGAGCTGGGAACATCGAGGTAGAGATAGAAGTTTATCAACATGAAGTGATATATGAGCACCTTTATATAGAAATGCCGCAGATGGAAGCAATAGTGGTGAATGATTCAGTAATACGTTGAGGGGGGCTAACCACACTAACATTCACGGAACCTGTCTTCATCAACCACTAGAATGATCTTCTTCTCAAGGTGCCAGGCTGTCTTCGAATCAGCTGACCCAAACCAGATTTTAGTCGAATCAATACGTGCCAAGCTTCGTAGGCAGAAGCAGACCCGTGGAGCATAGAGCGAACTGGATGAACTCTGCATATGAAAATGTAATCTTACCCAGATCTCGCTGATGAGTCATAAAGTAACCACCATACTCCCGCCTTTTCCTGTGCTTATTCAACGCTTCCAACGCCAGAAGAATCGAGACAAAGTGCGTAGACTAGCGGCAAAAACTAGAGATGTTGCGCCACACGCAGCTCGTGAGAAAGAAGAGGGAAAGCTAAACAACACGCTTGACCTGTAGACGGGATTAGTTGAGTACTGTTGGAATGATGATAGGATGCACGGGTGTTGGTTACCTCAAAGAACCGTTTGAGCCACCACACCTGGAAGAACCCCTGACCGATGAGTACCATCAACTGGAAGATGCTCCACCACTTGATGCGCGCGTTCGTGCTCTCAGCAGTATTCCTGTGTACGCGCTCGCGCACGATGATGTAGCTCTGCTCGTCCTTGACCTGGGAAACAAGTTCCGACATTGTTCGCACTGTTTCTGTCAGCACTGTCCTCTCCCAACTATCCAGTGTAGTTCCTCACCCTCCTTCTCCAATGGGTCTTGGGGGGCTTCCGATTCAGGGACATAGACAATGCCGTGCACATTGAACGAGACCTCCTTCGTGTTCGCGCCCCAGTGCTCGTTGTTGAAGCAGTATGTGTATTTGCCGTCTTCTTTGGCGTCGAAGGAGTGGTCGCCGGAGGATACGCCGCGTTCGTGGACTTGGTAGCTTCGAGAGGGCGTCTCGATCTGTGGATAAATAGTCAGCTATGTGGTTTGGAGGCAGAATTGGAGTCTCATTGACGCACCCAGAAATCGATCTCCAAGTTTCCGCTGCCGCCAAACTCCCGGTCGCCGACTTGGAACGTGACTGTCATCTTGTCGTCCTTGTGGAGGGACTCGTGGAAGCATTCGCGCTGGTGGGCCTTCATTTGGATGTTGTGCGCCGTCGCGAATGACAGCAAGCTGCTCGCCGCAGCGAGCATGGCGAGAGATGGGAACAGCATGGCGGGTGTATGGTGATGCTGCTCTGTCGTGTCGAATTCGGTGTTTCGTCGAGCGCCAAGCTACGTACACGGAGATGCCAGCTTGCCCGCAATGCAAGGGCCCAGAACGTTAGCGTTCAGATTAGTCAGCCACGGCTCCGTCTCAACTTCCTTCGAACGGCGTCCTGCTCTGTCCTACACCCCGCAATATTGTTTTTCGTTCACAGCCTTCCTAGTGAATCCTGGATGCGATGCAGCGTTTGTTCCAATCTGTTAGGAACCAGTAGATGACATGACAATTTCGCGATTCGATGTGCAGTCTGCGTGCGCTGACATCCGCTACCCTTGAGGGTCTCGCACGATTACCACAATGCGCTACTACAGAACTTCAAGGTACAGCTGAGGACTATGGAGATGACGTGTCGTGATTCAGTAGCTCAGATCGCTGGTAGCCTGGATATCTACGTCAACGAGTTGAGGCGGAAGGTAACACCCATGTATCTCTCATGAAATATCCTCTTCGTCGTCCACTTCCTTTCTTCTGTGCGCGTAGATCTTAGGATGACGTCCTTTCTTCTGATTCTGTTATCGTTCTGCCATGTACCCTTCTCTTCTGCCGTCCAAATTTAGAGGTTCTGAACAGATCTGTTTGCCGCCAAGACCATCGTCAGTCCGCTCCCACACTTGTCCCCGCAACAACAGCACGTCTTTCTTGTGCGCTCAACCCCAGCTTGCTTTATTCACTTCAATTCCTGCTCGTCTCCGCTCGGCGTTTTCGTCGCCGTCGCTTACGGACCGCGTCCTTTCTTGCGAGCGGTGTCAACGCCCTCACTTCGAACTCAGCGCTTGCACCTCCAAGCTATCGGGATGACGGATGTAAATGGCGCTCCGCGTAGAGTGTCCATGGCATACATCCTAGGCTTTAGTGACAAGCCGTACAAGGAAGTAAAGCCACCCGCACCTCCGCCTCCGCCGCAAACTAGGAAGCCCGGCCAACCTGCTAACATAGTGACTGCCCCCATTGAATACCATGACGAATCTTGTAAGCTAATTACCATCAGATGTCTACTCCTGGTCGCATCGTAGAGTGGACCGCGAGCGACGGACGAAAAGGCAGACTCACAGGCACCGGCAAACCACGACTTACTGCAGCCAGCCTCGCGAAGGTACCTTCTGAACAACGGCCGGCAAAGGAGCCAGTAGGCGCGAAGAGTAGCCCAAAGAAAGCAGCTTCGACTAAGCCCGCCACTGATGGAGATAACTTGTGGGGTAACCATGGGTGGGGTGACGCCAATGCAAAGAGCGAATCGAAGAAGTCGAGCTCGAAGAAGGCCTCAAGTAACAAAGGTGATGGATGGGTCGTACAGGAATCGGGTAATGACACAAACGATCCATTAGCAGCCACCTGGGGTACTACTCCAGATGCTACAGGTGGCGACGACAACAAAGAGAAGAAAGACGAACCCGCAGCACCTTGGGAGGCTACGACTGTCCCGGACAACAACACAGTCCCAGAAGAGAATGACAAGAAGGATGGAGAGTCAAACGGATGGACTAAAGAGCAAGATGAAAAGCTGATACAGCTGAAAACTAAAACTTCGAAAAGTTGGGCTCAGATGGGCGAAGAAATTGGTGGTAAGACAAAGCAAGATTGCATCGACCGTTTCAAAGAGATCCAACCGAAGGGATACAAGGCCAACGAGGTCAACCAAGGGGGTGGAGGCAAGAAGGGAAAGAAGGGGAAGAAAACAGATCAACATGATGGAAACAACAAGGATGACACGAAGAAAGAAGAAAAGAAGGATGAGGAAACGGGGGATGATGGCGGTTTATTGGGTCTCACGTTTGGAGAAGATACTGGTAACAGCAAAGACGAGTCTGGTGACAAGAACAATTCTGGGGACAAAGCACCCGATGTATGGGGCGGTACTGCAGACTGGGACTTCACTGGGGCAAATGCTGCAGGCACTGGTACGAATGCTTGGGAAACCCAAGTTGGATGGGGCACTGGCGCCACTACGGGTGGTGGAGACGTGGCGAATGATGCTGCCGCGAGCTGGGACAATATCGGTGGAAACGACTGGATTAAAGGGACGAACAACAACCACAAAAACAACACCGGCGGCGGTGCCGGAGGTGCGAAAGCTTCAAGGCAGAAAGTCCCTTCAAACCAAATGCCTCCGCGGGCGCCCGCTCAGCCCAATACCAGCAACGGCAACAACAACAACAGCAACAACAATAACAACAACAACAACAACAACAACAACAACAACAAAAACAACAACAACAACAACAACGCCCGTCCTATCGCCGCTCGTCCTCTCGAACTCGAAGTAAAACCCGACGATACTTTCTCCGCCGATGACTTGCGTCTAGTCGCTCGCATCTTACAACAAGATTGCTCAATGGTATGGAATAGGGTCAGCTGGCGATTCAGGGACAAGACAGGTAGAACCCTTCATGCTGATGAGTTCGAGAAAAAGATCACTGGGCGTCTAGAGGGCAAAGGTAGCGAGACGGGTGAGCGGAGGCGGTAGGACATTGACAAGGTGATGACAGAAGGTTACGCGTGAGATGTGTCATGAAGTACACCAAGGGTTGGGAGAGGAGTCAAATGAGCTCATATGTAATACTATAACTATAGCCAGCTGGGTTTCTAGTTCGCATCTTCTGGCTGTATAGTGACCGATGCACTAGTGCGCCTGATGTGGTGGTTAGATACACTTTGAACGAGTCAACACAGTCATGAAACGTGGGTCAACGAACTCGTCATGGCAGGTTATAAGCTAGATGACTGAGCCGTGCATGTTCAATGAGCATATTCTGGCGTAGCTCAAGCATCATGGATGAGACAGGACGAATGACTGTCCTCCGCGTTTCAGGTCGATCCTCGAGCATCTCTACTACCATCGGAGGTTGCACTCGCTCCTAGGCAGTGGCACTGTCCCTCCGAAGACACGTGTGCTTGAACTCCTTCTCCAGCCCAGGCATGTTCAGGCGATCGACACCCCAGCCGCAAGCCTGACTCTCACAGTGCAATACCAGCGAACTCAGATGACCAAAGACCTTTCCACATCCCTCGTCGCGACACACGAAAGGGTGAAGGTCACCAGCTGCCGACCAACGCTGTACTTCGCGGATATCGACGCGGCCTATGCGAATGGACGCATGCATATCGAGATCCATGTAAAGCGCCGAGTACCACCACTTTCCAAGACAGCGCGTAAGAAGTGCCGGGTCGTTGAAGTTGGGGCACTTGCCTGACTCCAAGTGATTGATCAGACTGGAGTAGGTGCGCATCGGTGCGTCGCAGGCCCAACAGCCAATGTCAGCGGACCTGTGCTTAGTCATGTGCTGGTGTGTTGTCAGCGTGGCAGTCGCGAGTTGATCGCGTGGCAGATCACTCACAATGTGGTAGTTGCCCTCGTGGTGAGTGTGGAAGCCACATTCCTCGCAAAGGAAACAGTTCTCGAGGTGAATACCCAGTTGGGTCTTTCCAGCACAGTGCTCGCCGCATTGGGGGCAGGCAAGTGCGAATGCACAGCTCTCGTAGTGTTGCGTAAGCTTGGTAAAGCTCGGTAGTATGCGCTTGCAGCCTTCGCACTGGAAGTGATCACACTTGAGATGCCGTGCAAGCGTGGACTCGTCCGGCCCATCGAAGTCGCAACCTGGTTGTAAGCAATGCTTATGTCCTTACCTTGGTCAGTCAAGTCCTTAAGGTGAAGTTATCGTTGAACAAGAGAATGAACGCTCTGACCAGGCAAAAAGACACGAGCTCGCAACTTAGAATCTCTCAGACCACTTACTGTTCGTCTGTTCCCAATGTGCATCCCGTTCATCCTGATTGCGAAATCGGCGCTGGCATGTTCCGCACCACGTATGCTTCGCAGCGGTTTGAAGATGTCGCTCCAACTCAGCGCGAGTGTTGAAGCCGAGCAGGCAAGTAAGACACACCCACTCATGGCCGACGCTGTAGTTATTCTCGAAGTGGTTCTTGAGAGCCCAGTCGTCCTTGAAAGCGGAGAGACAAAGGTTGCAATGAACTTCATGGTTCGCTGCATTGTCGACGTGGTTTTTGAGACCATTGCGATCCACGAAGACGCGCTTGCAGAGGTTGCAATAGTTTTCGTGTCCGACGCTCTGCTTAATATGACTGAGCAGTGCAGCTTTGTTGGCGAACTTGTACGAGCAGACGCCACACCAGTTCTCGTGTGGATCGTATGCTTTTTCGGGTGTGTTGTCCGTTGAGCCCGAGAGGATGCGATCTTGCCCTTGCTGGGCGCGTGGGCGGTTGAGGATAGCCTTGGTGCGGTCATTCAGCACCTGCGGAGAGCGTCGAACCGGTGGTGCCGGCTGTACTGCAGGAGCGCCGCGCTTCTTGACCTCTTGCCATGGCATTGAGTCATCGGCAATCTGGTTGAGGAATGGGTTTTGAGAATGGTCAATAGCGGGACTGCGGACGGGAGTTTCGCTGCTGTCTGCACTAGCGAACATCGCATAGCGGTTGCTGCCAGGCGCGGCCATTGCCAGTCCGCTGCAGCGAGGGGAGGACGGGGTCGGTGTTTACAACAATGTAGTATCGGTACAGCTGATTGTGCTGATAGAGGTGATTGTGCTAGCACGGACAGCCAATAGCAAGCAGCCTGCCCTGGAGGCAGCAAGCGCCTTGTCACGTGACAGCGCGAAAACAAACGGATGGAGACATGAATACACACGGATGCGCGCATAAGCGGCACCAAAGATCGATCGAACGTCTACTCGCGTTGAAGGTATCTTCGATATACAGGAATGACCATGTAACTGATGACATTGAACAAGATGACACGATGGCCGACACGAGGAGACGGTGAGCGTGGAGGTAATGGCGCGATGGATGTACACCTCATTGGGAGCGAACGCGATGTAGAGAATGCAGAACGAATCGACAAGTAAGCATGTACGTGTCGAATGGGCTCAGAAAGGTCGCGAAGCATATTGTCGCGAATGGACGGCGTGAGATGGTCGAAGCTGGGGTCCGGAAGACACGTTAAGTGAAAGCGAGACATGGACTAAATATCCATTCAGCGATGTCTCTATGAGACTAGAGTAGGGCAGTCAGACTGAAAGGAATGATGTCAGGAGGAAAGACGTGTTTGAATTGAAGGAGGTTGGGTGAATGACGCCACTAAAGTTAGTGTGTCACGTCGCTCACGCGCTCGGTTCCGAAGTTCGCCCGCCCAGACTTCGTATCTGTCACACCCACCGAATTCAATCACCTCCACCATCAGCGCCATCAGCGCCATCTCGGAAACTATGCTCCGCGAAGAAAAGCCAATGTTCGGTTACACTGCGACTGGAATATGTGATGAGGCCCCTTAGCTGCTTGCCCGAATAACGCGTCAGTCCTTGGCCAGAGCAGCACTACTGCAGAATTCATCGGACGCGTGCTTACTCCAACACTCTACCTTCAACGACGAACGAGCAGTCTGCTCCTTCCAGGGATCTCTGCTGCGCATCTTTTTAATGGTTCTGTCACCCGTGACGTCGAACAAGCGGTCTTATTGTCATCTCGTTCCACTATGGCGGCTCGAGCCTCAAGCGTGGCCACGAGAACTAGAGTCCTATCTCATTTTATCAATGCCTTTCCGGAAGCTTCCCGACTCTAGGTGGGTGTTACTCACATGAGAAGGTTTGCTTTGCGAGCTCGGAATCTTGAAACATCAGAGTTTGTTCGTCGCGATGAACTCAGTACAATATGGCCTCGCTAACAAAAGGCTGCTACATCTTACTCACGACATACATTTAACTCTGTCGTCCAGTCTAGAACGGTGCATTTCACTTGGAGCTTCCTTCGTTTGCTACTGCACTCCACAATGCGTCTGACTGTTAGTATAAGGATATGGATCCGGTATATTCACTACGGCGGCTTTACTATTGATCTTTCACACACGCTACATACCAGAGCTCGGCCTGCAGCTACGCCCTACTGGTCTTCTTCGATCCGCTTCTCAACCAGCTTTCTTCACGAACATCGTGGCGATTCAACCGGGTGAAAGCTATCCAGCGTCACTCACACGCGCCAAAGACTATGTCACACGACGTGGAGGGAAAGCGATGTGCCCCACAAGATGTACCTGCTTTCTGTATAACTACGGGCGCGGACTATACCCCCCGGTGATCTCTCACTCCCTGCACAACCATTCGGCTCTACTTCTTTGGCTGGCCTTCTTGTCCTACACGGAAGAACCACCCAGTTTCATCCAAGTACGTTGGTTTGGAGAAGTGCTAAACAGTACTTGTATAGCAAACCGGTACCGAAAACTATTCTTGCACTTTTACGAGACACTAATCACCGTCATAAGACTTGCTTCGTATAAGATGCATTGCATCGATAGGAGGATTCACCAGCGTTCACAAAAGACTAATCGCTTTGTCGCCTTTGAGCCTCGCTGTATCAACCATGCGTGGGATACGGAAAACAGTAGGCCGAAGGATCTCACCATCGATCAGCTTTGCCGTGCGCAAGCGCTTGCCAATGGTTCAAACTATCAACACCCAGATGAAGACATCATTGAGCGGATGCGCGCGAGAAATGATGTCTGTAGCACCCAGGAAGCAAACAGCCCCGAGCACCTCGCGCCTCCTTTACCTTTAACGCCGATAAGTTTGCACTCCGATGTTCTCGCCCGCAGTCTGCCTGTACCAGCCACTGACCCACCTAAGGCGGCTCCTACCATCTCACAAACACATCCATGCGCGAAACTCTCGTCAGAAGATCATATCTGGGAAGAGAAAGCATGTAAAGGCATCGCTCACAAGGGGCTGAGCTTGGACAAAGTCTGGGATAAAAAGACGTGGAAGCAGAAAGCCAACAACATCGAACGATTGAAGTTGCTAAAGGACGATGGGTACGACATCAAATCTCTACAGGCCCCGAAGACATCCGCAGATGCAATAATCGAGGCTCTACTGGCTCACGTCAAAGTACGGAAGGAGAAGAATCTGGATCTTGCAGCTTCTACAGCACTACATTCATTTCCCAGTGAGGAAGTACCAGAAGTAAGGAAAGAAGATAGCTATGACCCCATTCTAGCGAACGATGACGACACAGCGGATGCGGACCCCAAGGAAACTGAAGACTTTGTTCCATCGGATGCGACACCACATGGTGTTCCAGAGTTTGCGCACGATGAACCAGAATCGCATGATGAACCCGAATCCCACGACGAACCAAAATCGCACTCATATATCCCGCCCCCCGTCGCACAGCAAGCTGCGTTCATATACAGTCGACAGATTGGTCGTGAAATCTTCCGCTACGCTAGAGAGAAGAGAAGGATATTCCAAGACCCAAAGTCGAAAGAATCCTTCAACATTTGTATGGCGTCGTGGAGACCCTCACGAATCATCTTTCAGTCGCCGCCATCGGTCGCTCGACAGTCCCGCAAGCCGCATGTGTATATCAGCGCGCAAGGTATCAAGCTGATGATGTGGGAGCTTTCGCACATCACTTACAATCGTTATGAAGATGGTAACTGGTGCATCGCAGACCCCGACGAAATTGAAGATCGAAAGGGCGATGGATTGATGGAAGCATGCAACCCAGTAAAGGACGACTTTCGGTACAGAATCCGCATTTCCGAAACTCCGAAATTCCCCATGATCATCGAAGGAGAGACCATGGCACTAGTTGGTCTACTCAGACGTTTTCGTAAGAGCGGTATCAGCTACTACCACAAAGGACAGTATGATCCACAACGGATGGAGGTAGTCGCGTATGACAATGAAACTAGGCAATTAAGTGATGCCACCGAGACTGCTTTAGAGGATGCTGAAAAGATATTAGAGGCGGAACACGCTCTTGGTGGCGTAGAGGTCCATATTGGGTGGCTGGAAAGCTCCGACTACCTAGATAGTTTGTTCTAGGTCAAGAGCGCACGAAGTAGTACATTCACTGTGACCCGTCTGTAGCTCTACCAATTGTTTGATAAGAGGAACTTATGACGATACGGTAGTGAATGCGACTCGCGGCCCGTGCTCACCAACACTCCAAGCTCTGCACCAAACACTGCCCTCGTTGCCTTGATGCTGCCTGTGTGCACCCCCGCTCTCTAGCCACTTCTACGGCGAGGTCGCAGTCGTGAAATCACTCGATCATTTGCTCCCTCTCATACTCCTACCGCGACCGCAAATTTGAACCCCAGCTACACCCACAATGCCCGTACGCACCCGCAAAATCGGCGTCAACGACAAGGACAAAACCGCTCTCGCATTCGCCCACGATGACTTCCGCCGCCATTGGGTCTCCGGTCAGGTTGGGGGTGGCCGCAACACCGATTCAAGAGTCGCATTCAACCAACAAGACAACGGGTTCAAGCATCTAAAGCTCACCGTCGCAATGCTCTTCGACGCCAAAACCAACGAGGCACCTGACTTTTCCAACTTCGGTCCCGAGGAAGAGGCCAAATACCACGCGATGCTACGCAGCAAGCTCAGCCTTGCGAAGGACTACATACTCAAGGAGAAGGATCTGTCTCTCGACCCTGACCGCTTCGGTGCGCGCCACGAGCCGACGTCCCTAGCCCTCGCCGCACCGCCTATCATGATCGATCTCTATTCTCAGCACATGATCCGGCTCCTCCTCAATATCTCAGCAGAACTTCGCCAAGTGAGCGCGACTACTCCGGAAGACGAGGTCGAGACGGTGCTAGAGGGGCCGATGAGAGATTATCTGGAGTTCTGGGAGAGGTTGCAGAACAGTCTCTCATGGCAGCTTCCCGGAGAGGATCACGAGGCTAGGATGGGTGAGGCGGACAGGGCTTTGAATGAGGTCTTGGAGAAGTTGGTCGAGCCTTAGCAATTGGACGCATAAGGCAGCTTGGCAAGTCAACGGGGGTTAAAGGTGCGCTAGTCGTGCTTGTAAAACGACAAATTGACACGACTTATGAAGAATGGACGAATTTTGAGTAGTATGAACGTCTATGAACGTGATTTCCGGGACCAAATGTCCTATGTAATGCACTGCTGACAGAAACATGAACAAGATTGAACTCGAAATATCTTTGCAAGGCACGAAACGACTTAGAAGCATGGTCACAGACACCCAACCAGTAGCAAGAGCCAATTGTTCAGTGTCTACCCAAAGCTTGTCACCGTCCAGCCTTTGGCTTTCAAGTACGATCAAGCGAATAGCCGGTTTGCTGCCTGCTTCAATGCTTCCGGTATTTAGTTGCTGGATATCGGCACTGACTTTGCAAGCCCATCTTCGGCACTCTGTGTCGGCCCAGTGACTTAGTCAACGAGGGCAATGAATATGTTTTCTGTTGTCTGGGGGCGCTGCATATGTCGTCACTGTTGTTGTCGAGTCTTTCTCCTGGCATTTCACGCGCTAGTTCCCAGGCTACTCTCCTCTATTAATATATAAACATTGCTTTCTGCTCCAAGAAATCATCGTGGCGAAGCTCAACTCGACCCCTCGGCCAATAGACATTATATCGAAACGCGAAAGTTGTGTGTTCTGTTTCGAAATCGTCAGATCGGAATCCTCGAATTATCACTTCCCCATCTCCGGATACATAGAGGTAAAGAAAGGCTCTCTTTGTTCTTCGACCTAGGCTAACTGTTAAAGTCGTACAAAACGAGTACACAATATGGCTTCGACCACTACGATATATCCCAACACTCTTGAGGGTGTCAAGGAATTCTGCAAGGGTCGCAAAGCTCTTGACCTCGTCCGCAGCTTTAGCACTACTCCAATCCCAGGCGCACCGGCAAAGTGGGAGGACACGCTGGGAGTTTGTCTAGACCTCGAATGGTACAACCAACCTCCCGATAATCCAATGGAGACCATCAACGAGGGCGGCCTCGTCGTCTTCCCGATGAAGAAGCTTCGTGGCTGCAAGAGCCCAAGCGATTTCGAGGATCTCATTCGAAACTTCGCGGTACATCACCTACGCATCGTGGAGACGTGTCACATGCGGAACAAGGGGAGAGACAAGTTTGGTATCCCTTTCGGTGATACTGAGCTGAACCCAAGGTTTTGTCAAACGCGTTTCGTCACGAAATCTGAGGCCCAAGCAGTCCTGATCCAGTTCCTCGACAACCAGCGCTGCGACGACGGGTCGAAGAGGCCAGTGATTTTCTTTGGTCAAGGCCTGAACAATGATGAGCGCCAACTGAAGGAGCAATGGAACCTTAACACGGCTAAGCTTGACAGCATTGTTCTTACGATCCGATCGCTTGGGGCATTGGCGAGCCACGCCGGTATCGTCGCTGTCCCAGACAAAGAACGCGGTGAGAGCTTGCCGAGGTTCGTCGAGCTTCTTCGTGGGTTTCAAATCGATACAAGCAACATATGGCTACACAACAGCTCAAATGATGCGGTGTATGAGACGACACTGTTCTTTCTCGTTGTCCTTTTCCCAGTACTGTATCCGGGCACGCCTTGCAATCAGTTCCCACCGGACTGCACCATCGCCGGCCGTTCCATCAATGACTTATGGACCGATCTTGCTGAGGAGAAGAAGACCATCCCACCGCAGACGTGGGGCACTGCTCAGTTCTGTTGGTACTGCGAAAAGGCAGACGTGCATGACGCCGACGCGTGCCCTGTAAAGGAGACGATCGAGTGCGACATTTGCGCGAAAGCTCCTGGTCCTGAGAACAAGCGCTTCCGTAGTAAGCAGTATCGCTTTGGCCATCAGACTAGTCGGTGTACCCATCAGTTCAGGCACTACATTCCACCTCTGCCTGCATTTATAACCGACAACCTCGACCACGAAGAGCAGCGTGCTGTCTGGCGAGCCAAAGCTAGTGACAATGTTGCGGTCGGTGGGCGGATTCTGTTCGACAAGCTTCTGGCACCTGGGTACCCAGGCAGGATCGGCGATCGTGAATTGGATGCCGAGGACGAGCGTCGCGCTGAGGAGGACACGATGCTGTGGAGCTTGACAGATCCCGATGACGAAGAAATCTCTCGAGATGACGAGTAGTACGGCATTTGACGCGTGTCAATCGAATTGAGTGCGGGAGCATATTCGATCGTAGGCTCGGGGCTTATGGACGAGAGGAGGAACTTTTGCGTGTGTACAGCTGTCTTGTTGTAGTTTTAGTAGTCAGCCATGATAACGGTGTATAACAACTGTTCCAAAATCTGTCATCAAGCTCGACTGCTTTCCATGCTTGCTGTGTTGGAGAGAGTGAGCCCTGAACCGCTCTGGCTGCCACCCCTGGTAGGCCGCTGCATGGCCAGTTGGTCGAGCATTAGGCGCTCCATGCTGCCGATACTGATCGTAGCCTTTGAACAAGATGTGTAGTTTGGGACGAGGAGTGTGCACTGGACACAGCTGTTGAGATTGTGGCTGGGTGGTGGTATTGCGGCCGCTGGTTGCGACGCGTCGCAAAGTTTCGCCGAAGCAATGACGTCACCTCACGTGACCTTGGCATTCTCCGGACTTCCAAGGTCTGCCCGTCCGTTCCATATGGCACCCGCCAAAGCACTCCCGCTCGCAACACTAGCTTCTGAGAGCACGATTTATTATGTGTCTAGCAGACCAACGCTATCGAACGTTCGTCGCGGCCTTCCTAAAGTCGACCATCCCGAGGTCCCTTTACAGATCATCTACATTGACAAAAGTGTCGTTGACAATAGCCTCCACCTGATTTCCGAGTTCACTATCAGTATCAACACTTACGCTCTTCATCATCTCGCGCCACAGCTCAGTCCTTTGGATATAGTAGACTTCTTTTAGGCATACCAAGTAGTGTTTGCTGTCACGGTCGATCTCTCCGCACTGCTAGTGGTAAGAGCGAAGTTCGTGTTGATGGTGCAAGACCGTGCGGACCAGCATTTGGGCTTTTTCTGAGATCATGGGCTTCGAAAAATAGTCCAAAATGATCTTGACATCTGTGAGAGGTGTCCCGTCAAGCTCGAACCCGGGTGTGCTGCAGAGCTCTGGGTAAGGGTTGACAAATGCATTCGTGTCATCTACTCCCGCTTGTGGGCTGCCGTGCTGTGAGGTTTCTGCCTCGTCAATAGCAGCATTCTTGATCATTTCAAGGTAGGAATGGAGGCACCTTAAAATGAACAGAGATTCGCGTTTCGAGATCGGGTCGGGCTCTTTCGCTGGAGATGTGTGTATACGGAGGATATCTTTCTTTTTGGTGGAGCTGATGGATCGCGGCTTTCGCTCATAGTCACCACCTATGATTGGTGTTCCTTCGATAAGTCCTTGATCAATGCGCTTATTGCGACAAACGACCAAAGCCTCTGCAAAGTCCATTGCCGTGAAGTCTTTCCAAGGCGCATTGCCATACACACTGACGTCTTCGCCCGCCTTTTGTAGTGCTCTAAACATGTTGCCCTTGTTAGATCTTCCTACCCATGACCTGGCCGTCCAAGCAGCATCAGGGTCTGTGCCTCGCTCTCTTGATACAGTTGGGGTTATGGCAGTAGATCTGGATTTTGAAATGGAAGAGAGAGTCAGAGATGAATTAGACTTGTGAACCTTTCCTTGACTTCCGGATGGTGCATACGCTGGCGCATCTTGATTTGTGGTCGACATGACCGGACGATAGAGTTGAAGATCTAGACACTAGTTTAGCAGAATGCTTAGGGTTGAGAGAAGAGTAGATCAGCATAAGGTCTGGTAGGGTATAGTTAGCATATAGAGTGACCAATTATAGTCACGAACCTTCTCTCTCACTGGCCTAGGTCATTGGCAAGACCCCCGTCAGCGAAAACACCAGTTCCCACCAGGTCTCAGTCACAGATTGTTGTGTCCTTTCACTGTGTTTATCTTAGAGCACACGAGACATTCAAGAATAGCTCTTTCTACGAAACATGACGCCTCGCGTGATAGCGGCCTCTCTTTCACTACATCGAGATACGATATCTCTCATCCATATCTAACCTCACCAGCGCCCTCCCTGAACCAGTCATCGCTAGCCAGCCCTTCATCAGCCGTCGCATAGTTTATAATCGTACTCTTCGATGTTGTATATGCATTGTAAGCGTCGATACCGTTCTCGCTACCCACTCCTGAGCTCTTGATGCCACCCCACGGAGAGCTTGGGTCGTTACGATGATGCGTGTTGACCCAGCAGATGCCACTCTCGATGCTCTCTGACACGCGGAAAGCTTGCGAAAGATCTTGCGTCCAGATGGCTGCGCCTAGACCGAATTCGCTATCGTTCGCAAGCTCAAGGGCCTCTTCTTCAGTGTCAAAGCCTACGACGACAATGACGGGACCGAAGGCCTCTTCCTTCCATATGCGCGTATCGACAATCTTCTTTGTAGTGCTATCCGTCAGTATTGTTGGTGGATAGAAGTAGCCTTTCGAGAAGTCGGTATCGTCCAGTGAAGATTTGTGAGTCATCCGTTGGCCACCTGTGACAACCGTCACACCTGCATCCTTTGCGTCGTTGACTAGTGTCTCAACGTTGCTGAGCTGTTTCGCCGATATGAGGGGACCCATCATAGACTCCACATTCTTCGGTGAGCCCATCCGCCTCTCAATGCTCTGCACCTTGGCTTTCAGCTTCTCCACTACCTGGTCGATGATGTTGTTCTGCACGATGATACGCGTCGCTGCCACACATGTCTGGCCACTAGCTATGAAGCTTGCGAACACAATGCCGTTGATTGCAAGATCCATGTGCGCTTTTTCAAACACGATCAGCGGAGCCTTGCCACCAAGTTCGGCGGTGTAATGTGCCAGGTTGCGTCCTGCGATGGCGCCAATGGCGCGTCCTGCTGGTGTGCCGCCAGTAACATCGACTTTCTTGATGAGCGGATGCTCCACAAGAGCCTTTCCGGTCGTGATGCCGTCGCCTGGCAACACTGAAAAGACGCCGTCGGGCAAGCCGGCCTCTTTCAGAAGCTTGCCAAGCTCAATGCTGGTGAGCGGCGTCAGCTCGCTTGGTTTCAGCACAATGGAGTTGCCCGCGGCTAATGCGGGTGCGATCTTCTTGACAGCAATCAACATTGGGTGGTTGAACGGCGTAATTTGCGCGACTACACCGAGCGGCTTACGGTCAACCCAATTGTGTAGTTTACCGACGGTTGGCAGGACAGAGCGCTCTTCGGTTCGTATCAACGCGGCGTAATATTTGAACCATTTCGTAAGAGTCGGAACTTGGGCATTCATCTCACGGATAGCGCGTCCGGTCTGCTGTACCTCCAGCGCGATAAGTCTTGGGAGATTCTTGGTCAGAAGTTCTGCGATTCGGTCGAGCGTGTCCGCACGCACATGGCGCGGGGCTTTCGACCACACACCCGATTTGAAGACTTTGTGTGCAGTTTGAACAACATCCTCGACATCAGCCGCAGATGCAGCATGACAGTGCGCGAAGACCTCCCCAGTCGCGGGGTCTTCAACAGCGAGCCTGTGATGCTGTTAGCAATTGGGGTGGGTCACGAATGAGGGGTCCCGCTAACTGACTGCTCCGCTCGACCTTCCACCTCTCTTCCTTCCACCCACATCTTGTATGCGTTCCCCATATTGGTCATAATACGCGTCGTAAGGAGCAATGTGTGCTGCAAGAGTTTGGAGATGGCTGGGAAGTTGAGGTGAGTGAGTCCTTGGTAGCGGAGGTGGCCGACGAAGAGTGGACCTCAACGATAAGTTAGCGGCGGCTAGAGACGTTTCGGCATCCAGAGTACCTTCCAGATTAACGACATGCTGGATGTAGTATTAAGCAGTATCAGGGTTCATTTTAGAGGGATTCAACATCATCGATTATGATTATAATACAATAATTTGGGTATCTTTTCCAATTTCGCCATTCTCAGTTGACCACCATATTATAACAACGCCTGAAGAGACCCGGCGAGTACAAAGCGGAACCAGATGACAATTCCACTATTTCAGATATGGCGCGAGGCTCGAAAATGAGAGAAGTAATCATCGCCGCCGGAAGCAGAAACAAGGGAACTTTCATTTTGTCCTGATCAACCTGGAATTCATGTCAATCCAAGCACATGTCTTCCCTTCTCGTTACCCCTCCCACAGTCCAAATCCCTCTTCACTTCACCCTCAGCCCCATGTGTCTGCAGAAGCTCAATCAACATGCTTCTCTCCTTGCCTTCAAGTCTCACCGCTTTGAGGGCAGACTGTAGTGGTGTACGTCCATTCTTCGCCTCAAAGTTCACGTCCACACCAGCTTCAACAAGGTACTTTGCTATCGCAGACGCACCAGGCGTCCTGCAAGCAAGATGAAGTGGCGTTTCTCCATCATGATCAGGGTTGTCGATCGAGTGACCCAAGGAAGCAAGGTAACGGACAGTGGCGAGCTGCCGTCCTAATGTTGCGGCATGCATTGCGGAGTAGTACGACGATGGTGCTGGATTGACACGAGTAATGTCAGCCCCAAAATCCAAGAGAAGGGTAAGAATGTCTGGCGACATTTCGTACGCTACTCGAATGAAGAAGTATCCGAATTCTGGGTGCGTCGCCATGGGGTTTGCGCCTTCCCATATCACCCTCTCCACTTCGGCAGCTGTCGCTTCCGCTGGTATGTTTGACAGGATTCGATCTACCGCCGCCCTCTGGTTCGGCTCCAACTCTTTTCGTTTGCCCTTCGTCACAGCTATCCGGTCCGAGGTGATCTTCCTATGAAAAATGGAGACGTCTGAGCTGGACAGCGTTGATGTGTATTTTGATGCTTGTTTTGATGCGTGTCTAGACGCAAGTTGTAGCCGAGTACTCGCCTTCCCTGAGAGATCAGTACACCAGCTATATGACTTTTTGAGTCGAGATTCCGGTGGTACTAGTGTAGGACTGGATGCCGCGCCGTCGTCAGTGTAGAATGTACCGCGCGATGGGGTGATGTCTTCCCGGGATGGCGGTATCAGAAGTCGCCTGGGAACAGATGTTTGTTCAAGTGCGGCATAAGAGAGAGTCTGCGCGTCTTCAAAGGAGGGAACGTTGGCGAGCCATGTACCAATGCCGTCATTAGCGCTGTTTCGTGTTGAAGCTTGTTCGTGGGGGCTCTTCCTGCCGCTTCGAGGCTCCTCGCCAAGGGCGGGCTCTAGGGAATCTGGACGTGGGAGAGTAGTCCTCTTTGCTAGTTGTGATGCAGACGGCCCGTCCCGTTTAATAGCTGTGATACATGATCGAAGCAGACGGACAGCCTGTAATAGTGAAGACAGTTTGTCGCGTGCTGTTTGATTCACGTAAATCTCATCTGTATCCGTCTTCTTCAGCAATTCATCGCTTTGCGTGATGAGATCGCTGACAAAATTTTGAAGTAACGAATCCATCGTATCCTGTTGGCAAAATCTAAGCTGAGTCAGTTTTCGTGCAATGCTCAGTCGTTCCTGGTGCAAACAACTTACAATGCGACATAGTCTAGACACAACTCTAGCACCACCTTTGAGGCGTCAAGATCATGCCGTAGATTCACCAAAGGTCCGTCCTTCAGCACACGCCAGTCCTCTTTTGGTTTACTACCACACGAGAGCTTAAGAAAAGCCTTATGCAATCGTTCACAGGTATCGTCGCATGAGTCCAAAACTCGCGAGACAGCATCGATCAGAGACGCCGGCAGCTCGGCCCACTTTGCCGAAAAGTCGTCTTGCGCAATACTCAGCCCAGTTCTGATCACGAGCAGATCACTGTTGATCTTGTTCAGATCGTGACGAGCATCGCGGAATTTGCGAGCAAAGCTGCTGATATCCGGGATGACCTGTTTTGGGCGTTAGCGCGTGTAGGTGCAAAGTTGAACATCTGAAGCGGCTACCTGGGCGATCGAAGTTCCTAGCGCAGCGCATCGGGCAGCGACTGTACTAGGACGCGACATTAGTTTGGATGCGCGTTGACAAAGTTGATGCTAATATGCACTTTGAAAAAGACGTCGAGGGCGTGGCCGGGCTGTCGTGGCTGTCGTGTTTGTTTTGGGGACGGCGATGCCTGTCGGCGATTTTGAAGGTGTGTTGGCTTGGTCGGAGCTGACGAGCTTGTCACATCGTGAAGTACTGGCGTACGGCACGGATCTCAAGCTCTTGCGTGCCCGCCGGTTACTTGGTGGCCCACGACGTTGGATGCGAAAGGGGGGAGACACAGATCACGCTCAGTTTACGAAGAAAATAGGCTGCGCATTGTTTGAGGGAGGGTTGGGTGTTGTTGGGCTTTGCGTCTCCAGAGCGGTGGCTAATGCAAGAGACCTGCCTCAAATTGCGGGAGTGCAGGTGAAATTCCCCGTCTCCGAAAGCCACCAACGACTGGGCTATGGTGTTGCCATGCCTGGGGGAATAGGAGACAAGTCGCTATTGTGGGTTAGGCGGGGCGGGAGGCGCGCAGGGGAACCCGGTAGTGGAAATGAAGCCGACTGGGCAGTGGAAACATTAGATTGTCGCGTCTGCGAATGCGAGGACATCAATTTCAATTTCGCATCTTTTTTTCTTTTTTGTACATACTTGCTGCACAAGCGACTCAGTCAACAATGCCAGGTGGCAAGAATGAGAGGTAATCGACCGGGGCGGGCTCTATCCCATCAGCTTGCGCAGTGAGTCGCACCACGTCACCTTGCCGAACCTCAACACCTCTGAACGTGATGCGCGTCGCGGAGTGCCCATCGAGATACACGCTCGGCGCGTGTCCCAGCTTGTCTTCCAGATCCCCCACCCAGCTACCCACGATCCGATCGCCAACCTCGAGTTCGTACTTCGCTTTACCTCCAATCAAATCGTAGTAATTGACAGCGACGTCGTACGTTCCCGAGGCGAATGTGACATTAGCGGTCGCGACGCCCGTTGTGGAGTTTGATGTGGTGACGATAGCCGTATAGCCGGAAGCTGTCTCAAAAGGGCTTACGGCGTAAGTCATGAAACCTTCGAGCATCATGTCTTCCGCCTCAATGCGATACGGGTGATTGCCCACGCGCTGGTTCTCGTCCGCTATCTGTGAGAGATTGTGGTAGAACTCGTTGATCGCATCGCGCCAAACTATCGAGTGGCCAGCTTGGAACGTTTGCCTGAACAATACATGTTCATATCGCTCATCGTCGATCTTGCCCTTCAAGGACTCCCATTGCCCGACAAATTCCTGCGCAACACCAGCACCTTCGTAGTGAGCGTCGTAGAAGTGCTGAATCACAGTCTTGTTGGATTTCAGTCGCTGTGTATACGGAACGTGATGGAACCAGAGCAGTAAATTGTCCGGCGTCGATTCAATATCCTCATAGATTTGAGCAACCTCGGGCGGGTATTGTCCAGCATTGCCAGTGCCGTTCTTCACGGTGCGGTCCATGCCAATGCTGAATGCATCGGCGCGCGTCCATTGACCCCACCCATTCCCGTCTTGCGAAGCAGGGTTTGGTCCAAAGTGTGTGTACAAAATGTCAGTCAGTGTCTGAATGCCGAGATTGCCGCTGTAGTTTTCATATGCGGGCCACGACCTCATGGACATATCGGTGATGGTTTCGAGCACGTCCGTGTGAAAGCCAAATGTCAATCGAATCCAGTCTTGCAGGATAATCTTCGGGTCAACGGACGCGTCCCAGGCTAATCGACCGTACGCATACAGGTTGGACATGGCTAAATGTGAACCTAGCCACGTCGCATTTGATCCAACTCCTGTCACGCCTGCATAACCACCCAGTGGTCGTTTGAAGCGCTCACCAGTGATGATGTCTTTGACTTTGGAAGACTGATTGTCAGACCTCATATCAAACTCCAGGATCTCTTTCCACTGTGGGGCCAGATAGACTAGGTGGCAATTCTGGCCGAGATACTCGGGCGTGATCTGGAGCTCGATAGCTGTGCTCGTGTGCCGTAAAGATCCAAACAGTGGCGATGCTGGCTCCCGAACCTGGAAGTCAATCTGTGGGGAAACAGAGATACGTTAGTCTGCTCTTGGATAGATAGCGTCTGTAGACATACCGGGCCGAACTTGATCTGAACAACTACGTTGTCGTCGAACTTTCCATCTAAATGCTGAAAGAACTCCAATTGCGCATTCGCCCTGTCGTTGTACCAGTTGGTCTCATTGATGTGGTTGTCATAGACGAAAGCGCGGAACATGACAACACCACCATGGGGTTTAGCTGCCCTCGCGAACATGTTGGCGCCGTCTGCGAGTGTTCGGTTGTAGGTCAATGGACCAGGCTGTCCTTCTGAATTTGCTTTGACGAGATAACCGGCCATGTCTGGAACCTTGGAATAAATCTGGTTGGTGATGTTGGCCCACCATGCATCTACCTTCGGGTCTAGAGGATCGAATGTGCCTAGACTGGCATTCGGAGATGCGAAGTTGAGGGATATGCCAAGTTGCACACCCCATGGTCGCATCGCATCAGCGAGTCTACCAAGGCCTTCCACGTTGCGATCGTTGAGTAGCGTAGCGTTTGCGTTGACGTTGTTGATGATGGCCCCGTTTACACGAATTGATGCCAGCAGACGAGCGTATTCAGCAACCCGTGTCGTGTTATCTACGACAAATCCGTCCCGGAAGAACAATGAAGGGCCAGCATACCCTCGTTCGATACTGCCATCCATATTGTCCCATTCATTTGTCCATCGGATGGGTACTTGCGGGTTGTATACCGTTGAGGCAGCCGTGACGTTATCTTGCGCGAGCTGAGAAAGATATTCAAAGGCTCCATAGAGAGCACCGCGTTCATTCTGTCCGATGATCATGACTTTGCCAGGGGTAGTTGTGCTGAGGAAGAAACCATCTTCGTCCAGGTTCTCGCATTCATCGATGCTTCCGTATGCGGCTACGTAGGCGTCCCATATTCCGACGATGATGGCAGACTGACTTTGGTCTGCCGTCGAGCTGACGTTGAGCTTTCGTCCGATGATGCCCTCTACGCCTCTCTGAAGCTCTTGGCCTGCGGTGTAGACAGGGCTCACTTTCGTGCTGTTCAACGCGATGATCGCCGGGGGTACCGATTGTGCGCATGGCCCGTCCGGTATAGGAGCATAGCGCAGCCAGCCTTGTGAGCCATCTTCGGCTACAGCAACGCCCAGCACGCAAAACAGTGTGGTGAGTAAAAGTCGCATGATTGAAGCCAATGGATAACGGTCAATATCCACATACTGGCCGCCGTCCCCAAGATCATTTATAGGTCACCACGCTTTCCTCATGACCAACACGTCATTAGCACATTTACGGCAGCAATTGTCGTGACATCTCCCACCGAGGAAACAAAACGAAGTCTAACGGTCGCACCGTACTTCAGCCTAAAAGCTGGGCGTAAGTACAAGATCAGTCAAGCGTGCGGAGGGCGGCTCAAGCTTTACTGGCTGATTGTGGGGATGAATGGCGGGGATCGGAGAGATCGGCAACAACTGGCTGAAAAAGTCCGCCGAACCGGTTGACAGCCGATGGTAGTGCGCATTCCGATCGTTGTACGCGTGGACGAAAGCGCCGCAGACTTGATGGCATGGAAGACGGTGTATGGTGGAATTTGACGATGGTCAGGACGGAGACGAGGTGGTGGTGGCTTCCAGAATGTTTGTGCCGCAATAACGAGAGACCTACTAGGGCAACTACGACGTCATCAGCCATCTCGCCCACGACCGACCGCCTGCAGTCCACAAACGATCAAACCCTTCTCTTCATTTGCGAACTGAGCATGACACTACTCGGTTGAGTTCTATCACTACATGCGCATGGTAACGAGCCTGTCGCGTCCCTACGATCATACGTACAGGCTATTCCAAGGTTCAGCACTAATTGACAGGGCCGCGGTGATGCTGATCGATTATATTTGTCAAAAGTGTCCATGAGAATTCTCATATTGTCGTACTTCGCGTTGACGACCTTTACCTTGTCGCAGTAGCTTCTCGAGGTAGCCTCGTATACTCTCACTCAGGTGCAGGTCCTGCCTAAGTACACATCACTCTCACGTACCGCTCTTGTAACCTTATTCTATCACTTCATACACCTTAAGTCTGAGAGAATCTCTCTACATATCAAACTCTCATCTCCTTGAGGTCTAGACCTTGCCTCCCATCGTATCCAATTACTAACACACTTTCTCGGCCCTTTTCCCTTGTCTCCGGTACACTACCTTATGCGTGCAGCATAACTTTACTATTGGTGGAATACTAATAAACCCGTTAGAACCTCCAGTTCCTGGCTCGCGGTGCTAGACTGCAAGTATCCCCTACCATGGGATATACCAACGTCAACAATCCCATCACAATCGATGAAAGCGTAACGGATTGGTACACACAAACAATTTCCAGACAGGCACTTTCTCTCATACCCGATGACTTTGAGAAACTCCCAGCTTTCGAGACCGTCAAGTTCAGCCATCGAAAAAGCTTTGGTCCAATAGTCGACACCCATTGGCCACAAGACGCGTCCGAGATGGTACTTACTCTGGGCACCTTCGACGCCCCGGATCTCAACTTCAAGCCGCTGGTCTATGTCTACGTACATGGATTGAAGAACCGTTTTATCGGATACTTCTATGTCAACCCAGACTCGAGCATCTATCGCGTGCAACAGAGCAGTCTCAAGCATGTCGATATCGATGAACCGTTTTGTGACGTCGGAGACCTCTCAGTTGGCAAGCAAACTTTGTGCAACAGAGTACGAGCGATGGCGCTTTACTATTTCTTAGCTGCTGGTTACATCGATGAGGTAGGTGATTACAATCATTTCTGGTTGGACTTTACGAAGGCTTGCGCATTTATCGCCAACAAGGGCAAGCGTCCAAAGCCTCACGCAAAAGTACAGAAACAAGAACCGAAAACTGTACCAGAGCCAGCTGCGACATCATGTTTGGGGCCAGAAACCACTGACTCGGCGCACGACGCTGTCGCATCCAAGAAACGCACTGGCGATGATGGACCCATGCCAACAGCAGGTAAGTTACAAGGTCCGCAATCTTTCTACTTGGATGAACTGATAGCTGGCAGCTAGAATCAAGCGTCGCGACTACAGTCATATCGTGCGTATACGCGATAGATTGAATCATTCCAAGCTAACTTTCTCGTAGACACATCCATCGCACAAAACCATACGGCGGTCATTAAGCCCAGAACATCCGATCATGGCAATCAGGGCTGAAGCCCGGCTAGCAAACAGTGAAAGAACAAGCACCCCATTGAAAGCGGAGATCGATACGCAAGCCAGGGCTGTTGAACAGCTCAGAGCACAGATGACAGTAAACCATCAGCTGTTAGCGAAAGTCAACGGACTCACAGCGGAAATAAGCCGAGTCAAGAATGAAAGCATGTTCAGTCAAAATGCATACCGCGGCATCCAAGTTCAACACGATGTCCTGGCAGAGCGACACGCTAATACGCTCAACAACGAGAACGCTCTTCGCGATCAGCTCGGTCAGATTCAGGCACGCTGCGCACAAGCTGAGAGGCGATCAAAGGTGCTGGAGAAGGAAGTATATGGTCTTAAGCAAAGGATGAGAAGAGCGGAAGAAGCGTTGGACATTTCGGGTTTTTGAAAGGTGGAGAATGATTGATCTGGGGGTATTTGAATTATCGAAGGCTTATGGCGTTGATTTGGAAAAGTTCGTGTCGGTTAAGGTCATCCGTGGGTTTCCATTGCTGGGGTAGTGAAGTTTGCGGGAGTTTGGCAACAAAACTCGGGATGATGCTTCATCACGATTGGGACTGCTTTGCGCGACATACCTGGTCTTCCTTCGGGAAGGTATTGATTCGATTTGATTCGGAAACGTTTGATATCGAGCAGGAAAAGATCGACTGGAGTATGTCTTGTTGAGTCATGGCATACATACATCCAAGTCCCCCAAAGTCGAGCAGCCAGCCTTCTGCACTCTACAGTCGAGGCTAGGATCTTTATAAAGCTATACATTTGTCTTAAGCATACTGAGACCCTCTAAAGGGCTGTCAACCGAGACATACTTTCTTTCGTGGTCACATACGTACAGCAAGCACAGGTAGCAAACTTACAACGACTATAACATCATTTTCCTCCGCCTACTTTCTTCGTCATCTACACCATGAGTCCCACACCTTCCACCACCATTGCCAGGGCCATCGCTATTGACGATATTACCAATACAATGAGCGAATGGAAAAGCGGCCAACAATACCTTGAACGCAAACCACGCGATGAGAGACGCTTAAACGAGGCTAAATATTTCAGGAAAGAATTAGAAGAGAGAACGCTCGTACCAGCTCTCAAGTCATCAGTAAACGATGTGAAGGACGCCAATACGAAGCTGAAGGAATGGATCAGCGTAGTAGGCGTTGTGAATGAGTTGTGGGACGATGGTCCTCTGAGATACGAAGTTGGTATGGCTAGAGAGGAACTGGTCGACGCAGTTTGGGATCTGGAAGCCACCCTGTACGAATTGCGGAAGACGCTGAGGTTTGATGGAGGAAGAGTATTGGATGGAGTCATTGATCCGTCGGCAGTTGATAGCTCTGAGGAAGAATAGGCCGTTGGCGTTCGACCTGTTTGTTGCGGCGTACAGCTGAGAAACCATTTAGCAGTAATTGTCTTCAGTTGAGTACGACCACACTGCATGTCATAGTGCTGAGTCTTTCTGCCCAAATTAAGACCAGGCCCAGTCGGGGTCGAAGGCTCGCTCTATCCTTCGTTGACACTTCCCGTAGAAGTCTTTAGGCTGCCACATTCGTCGTCTGACTGGCCCTCAAGCAGCGCAATACTGTGATTTATAGTTTCGGACCATGCTGACCTTGAAAGAATTGATGATGCTTGTAGATAGAGGTTTGGTGTTGTAGAGACGCGATCGAACGCGTCCGGCGCGTCCTGGCCCGCAAGGCACGTGAGGGCGTGGGGCAAACGCGACCTCCAGCTCGGAAGCTACGATGCCATCAACCACAAAGGAGTCTCCAACTTGAATACAATGCCACTGTCGCATGGTATCAAGATGTCGCGATGAATTTGCCAACGACGATACCACACCAGATCGGAAGAGCTACTGCACGGGTCCACTGCGGCTATCCAGCCCTGAGGCGCAATACTCAGGTTCCTTATCCCTGGACCACGAACGAGGCGCGACAGCCGCAACGACAACGAACTGCTTCCGACACTGTGGATACGCTGATTACCGGTTGCCGCATTGTCGGTACTTGGACATTTTTTGGCACGCTCGCAGATATGGGGTAGTGCCTTGGAGCGCAAGAGGGATCGGATGAGGGAAGACGTGCAGCAGACAGCAAGCTACATACGTCCTGTCATCGAGCGCAAATGCGCAATTTGCTGGATGCGATACGAGGCGGTCGCTCAGCCCATTCGTTCGATGTCATCGAGGTGTCACAGCGTGCGCCATCACGAACGCGAAGAAGCAGCTGCATCGATAGGGTCTGCATATCTAAGCCAGGCAAGGCAGGTGCCGATCGTCAATTTGCAAAGGGAAGAATGAGGGCATTAGGCGCGCAGCAGGCCCGAACCAGACCGAGGCAGCCCGTACGATATCAAGACTCCCAGCCTCCCCATATGGTAAGGCAGCATACAAGCGACACAGCAACGCCGCACTGGCTATCGATGTGTAAAAGTTGGGTGTTGGACTTTTTATCGACCTGCCTCTTCGGGTGCGCCGTTTTATCCGCCACCGGGCTTGATCGCGACGGCGCGTCTTGGCACGGCCACCAGCAATCTGGGCGAGAGCTTTGCGGAGCTTCACGTGAGAGCTGCATGGAGCTGCCCGCCAAGTCTGAGCCACGACTGCGGGACATGTGGGCCGTGTCGCGATAGGACGACACAGAAACATGCTTTCTACGTTCCCACCGACGGCGAGCTTGTTTGTGCGCCCGCAGCGCTAGCCTCCATCAGGAAGGAGCGGTCGTGAACAGCGCCCATCTATCCACATGTTTGGTATAGCAGCAACCGCGTTACAGGCGAGCCTGATGCCATCACCGAGTGCGTAGCCAACGAGGAGCGCCATCACAGCCAGGTACCGGTCCCCAAACCCCGCTGGCAAAATATCGTCCAGCCAGGGTCTGCAGCTAGGTACCGAGCAGCTCGTTGTACAAATAAGCTGCCTGCCCTTCCTGACCTTTTCCGACCATCGACCTTGTCCAATTGAGCTTTTACGAAGCTGGTCGCATACAAAATGGCTCGATACATCAGCGTTGCCGCGGCTTTGGCTGCCACCGGCGCCTGTGCCTTTACGCCTGAGTACGTTTACCATCACATTCCGTTGCTTGCGCAACTGCTAACAAGTGAACAGAGGACTCCTCAGCACCGTCCGACGTGGCGTCGCTGACGCCAGTCCCGATGGCTCTGTCGGTCTGTTCTCGTACTCCCAGTATTCCTTCGAGGAGCACGGCAGTGCGGGTTCTGGCATGAACCTCATCGATCTCAAGACCGGCGAGATCACCGAGTCGGGCCTCAATGCTAGCGAGATCAACGAGGTCGCCTGGATTCCCGGCAGCGAGACTGGTATCATCTACATCAATGGCACCAACGAGGAGGTTCCCGGTGGTGTTACCCTGTGGGTTGGCGACATCAAGGACCCCAGCGCAAGCAAAATGGTCGCTTCTTTGGATGCGCCATACTCCGGTCTCAAGGTCGCAAACACTTCGACTGGAGACATGCATTTTATCGTAAACTGCATGGCTTACCCCAATGGTACTGCCGTCAACCCCGAGACCGAAGTCACCCCGGTGACTACTGCCCGCTACTACTCGGACAACTATGTCCGCCACTGGGACACTTGGCTGACCAAGAACCGCTACAACCTCTTCGCCGGAGCTCTCTCGGCGAACAACAGCTACGCGCTGTCCGGCGCTGGAATGCGCAACATCCAGAAGGGCATCAACTTCACCACCACTGCGCCCGAGACTCCCATCCAGCCGTTTGGTGACTCCAGCGACTACGACATCAGCCCCGATGGTTTCATGTACGCTTTCGTGAGCAAGGCTCCTCAACTTAACAAGGCCAACTACACCGCATCATACACCTATGTTGGTGCTTTCGCGTCTTCCGACGCTCCCATCGCCTTCAACGGCCCAGACTCTGCCGCGGCGGAGGCTGGTCACAAGGGTGCCTCTGGCCTCCCATCCTTCTCCACCGACAGCTGCAAGCTCGCCTACGTGCAGCAGGATGAGGACTACTACGAGTCTGACAGGTGGCAACTCTACACTGTCGACGTCGCTGTTGAGGGTACCGGTGTAGCTGTCAGCAACTGGAAGGCTCTGAGTGCCGGCTTTGACCGCTGGGTTCAGGGACCCATCACCTGGGCTCACGACGACTCCTCCATCTACGTCACTGCTGATGACTACGCTCGCGTCAAGATCTTCAACTTTCCTGTCGATGCCGACGAGAGCTTCGTCCCCGAGCCTATGACCTCGAACACATCCGTCTCGGCTTTCGCCCTCCTTCCTGATGGTTCGCTGTTCGTCGCTGCTACCGCCATCTGGACTCCAAGCGAGTGGTACATCCTTGCAGACGGAGAGAAGAAGACCCTCTTCGACGCGTCTCAGGTCGACCCCAACCTCGCTGGTCTCGGATCCCACACCGTTTCCGAGATCTTCTTCAACGGTTCCAACCCTGAGCTCAAGCAGCAACTTCAGGCCTACGTTGTCAAGCCTACTTTCTGGCAGGAGAACGTAACCTACCCTCTCGCTTTCTATATCCACGGTGGTCCTCAGGGTAACTGGGGCAACAGCTGGTCCAACCGCTGGAACCCTCAGGTCTGGGCTGATCAAGGCTATATCATTGTCGCCCCCAACCCAACCGGTTCCACCGGTTTCGGACAGTTCCTCACCGACTCCATCCAGGGCCAGTGGGGTAGCTGGCCATACCACGACTTGGTCAACGCCTGGAACTACGTCAACAGCAGCATGCCATGGATCGACACCAAGAACGGTATCGCCGCCGGTGCTTCCTACGGTGGTTACATGACCAACTGGATCCAGGCCAACGACCTCGGCAACGAGTTCAAGTGCCTCGTCACCCACGACGGTATCTCCAACACCGAGGGTGCATGGGCCTCTGAGGAACTCTGGTTCATCCGCCACGACTACAACGGCAGCATCTGGGACTCCAACGCGTACCGCGAGTGGAACCCCCAAAACCACATTGCCAACTGGTCCACTCCCCAGTTCGTCATCCACAACACCCTCGACTACCGTCTGCCCGAGAGCGATGGCCTGAGCTTATTCAACATCCTCCAGGCCCGCGGTATTCCCTCCAGGTTCCTCAACTTCCCCGATGAGAACCACTGGGTGCTCAAGCAGGAGAACAGCTTGTTCTGGCACACCGAGATCTTCAACTGGATCAACCACTGGTCCAAGGGTGAGCCTCTGAGCGACCTGCCCATCGGTAACTAGATGGGGAAAAGTCATGGTCTTCAGCATTGATGACAACATTGATGAAACTTATTCTTAGATGATTAATGATAATACATTGATAACAAACTTCATTCACATATGCTTCAGGGCTGTATGCTCGTGATCTAAGCTCTCTTTTGGCCAGAGTCCACCCGGACTAATCTCATTGAATGTATAT